CAAAATTCACATACTTTCACTTGAAGGTACCTCTACATGCACACACAGAATCTGCATGTCTATCACATAAGCATTAATTCTGGTGTTTAAATAGTTCTATTGCTTTTTTCTCTCAGATAGTAACTGGGAATTTAGAAAAATCAGAAAAAGCAAACTCCTACCACTATTAAAATTACCATTCTCCAGAGCTTGAACATCATAGATTTGGTGGGTTTTTAAGCTTTCTCCATGCCTTCGTTCATAACACTAGGACATGGAGGTTCCAGAGCACTGAAGTGAGTTTCTAAGTGGCCCACAGATGTAAGTGACAGATCCAGTTTATAATCCTGGTAGTAACAATGTCATCACTAGGCAGATTTCTACATCACTGGACCATAGTTTTCTTCAATTCAGATAAATGTCTTATATTTGTTGAAGGATTTATAATTATTTCTTTCTTCAGTAGCTCAGTGCAGTTTATAGTTGATAACCTTTAAATATATTTTTTATTCAGGTTCTTTATTTTGCTAGGTTTGTCTTTTGATATAGTTTGGATGTTTGTTCCCACCCTAATTGCATGTTGAAATGTAATCACCAGTGTTGGAGATGGGGTCTGTTGGGAGATGACTGGTTCAGAGAGGCGGATTTCTCATGAATGGTTTAGCACCATCTTCTCGGTGTTGTCCGTGTGATAGTGAGTGAATTCTTGTGAGATCTGGTTATTTAAAGGTGAGTGGCAACTTCCTGCCCCTTGCTCCTGCTTTGGATATGTGATGTGCTTGCTCCCGCTTCATCTTCTGCCATGATTATAAGCTTCCTTAGTCCTCCCTAGAAGCTGAGCTGATGCCAGCACCATGCTTCCTGTGAAGCCTGCAGAACCGTGAGCCAATTAAACCTCTTTTCTTTATAAATCACCCAGTTTCAGGTATTTCTTTATAGCAAGGCAAGATTGGCCTAACACATCTTTTCAATAATAAATGTAAGCTGCCACCAAAATCTGCTACATGTAGCAAGTCTATTCTTAGGCTTCAAGGCCTCTTTATTGTCTTCATTTGTTTTCCCCTTGAAGAGATCATTTCTTAAAAGTTTACTTTTTAAACAAAGGATATTTCTTGTTTAAATTTTTAGATTTTCTTTTTAAATTTGGCCTTTTCCTTCATAAAATGTACACTATACCAAGAACAGAAGTTATATCAACTCCTAATTGCAAATATCCTAATTGCAAATATTTTGTAACATAATGCTCAAGTTATTACAAATGCATAAAACATGCTCTTAAAATAATGAAATGTAATTTTTTGCACATTGACTTCAATAGTTTCATTAAGGAAACAAGTTATCTTTACATAACTTTTTAAAATGTAGTTTTTTCCCTACATTTAACAAAAAGGAACACAACATTCAATCAAATTAAAGTAAAATAAGTGTAGTGAAGAAAAATGCCATTCTGTTCAATAATAAAATCATGACAACTTTTAGTCATTACTATTTTAAAATGATTCAAATGTTCATGTTCTTTAAAAATATTCTGAATAAGTAGAAACTTATATAGAATTTCAGAGGTAGAAAGCCCAGATTGTTCAGCCCCAAAATGAGAAATATGAACATATATATTAACTACTCTGAGTACTATGTTTAAATAGATTCTGAGTTTCAGTGTGGGGACAGCAGTAAGGAGGACCATGATGGATAAGCTATGCCATTAGGTAGAGAGGATGAAGAAGTAGCACAAATACTCTGAATAAGTAGAAACATGTATAGAATTTCAGAGGGAGAAAGGCCAGAATGGCCTGACACATCTTTTCAGTAGCTTCTTAGCCTTACAGTTGCCATTATGCATTTGGTTTGTTAGTTTCTGTGCTTATTTTTATTGTTATTTTTGTAAACAAATGAACTCAATGTTAAGACTCAGAGAAGTGAAGTGATTTATTCCAGGCCACACAACTGGGTTGTGGCAAAGGCAGGATTAAAATCCCATGCACCTAAATACTAGTCCAGTGCTCTACCTCCTCTATAATCAGGGCTCTCTCGATCTGACATGTGCTCTCTCCAGTGTTAGAAAACAAAATTTGAAGAGTGATAACGCGATGTCATAAGTTAGTGATGTATTGTGGCTGATTAGAAATGGATGACTTTTTGTATAGGAAGTTCAGTGAGGTATAACAGATTGAAGGGGCTCCGGAATAGCTGGAAAGTGTATGCCACACTCTAAGTGTATCAGTGAGTTCAGTCAATGAACATGACACCTTGGTTTAAAACAAAGCTTTTTAACAATTATGTTTTGTAACTGAAAATATCTACTTTTGGTTATTTGTTTTTTCCGTTAAACAATATTCCAATTTAATTACTATGTTGATGCACAGAAATAAGCTGGCTAAACAATGGCACTTCAGTGGTCTATTAATTTAGATTCTCTATCAAGAGTTAATTACAAGTCAGCAAAAGGGTAACAATTTGAATTTCTCCTCTCTGTCTCTTCCTCTCTATGAGATTTTGAGGATATTAAAGAACGAGCAATGGCCAAAATATGGGTATTAGGCAACATAAAGGAGAGAATAAATATAGTTACAACACTAAATATTAGCATATGTAATTCTGAAAAGGTCATATTCTGGATCAGGAAATGAGATTTTAGTGACTTTTTGGTGAAAGTTGTGTTCAAAATAAAGAAAGTCGATGAAAATGGTAGGGTGCAGTGGCTCACATCTGTAATTCCAGCACTTTGGGAGGCCAAGGCAGGCAGGTCACTTGAGGTCAGGAGTTCGAGATCAGTCTGGCCTACACAGTGAAACCCTGTCACCACTAAAAATTTAAGAATTAACCAAGTGTGTTGGAGAGTGCCTGTAATGCCAGCTACTTGGGAGGCTGAGGCAGAAGAACTGCTTGAACCCAGGAGGTGGAGGTTGCAATGAACTGAAATGGTACCACTGCACTCCAGCCTGGGTGACACAGTGAGACACCATCTCAAAAAAAAAAAAAAAAAAAAAAAATCAGATGGAAACAAATCTCTATTACTTTAGCAAAAAGAATGAAAACCCACTAGTTGATATTTAAATAATCACTATTGTAACTCTTAACATGGCTTAAAGAGAAAAAATTAAGTATTTTACAAAGTGCCATCAATCAGTGACATCAGAAAATCAGGGCTGTGTGGATAATAAGAAAATGTTTCACATAAGAAACTAAACATTAACTAACAGAAACTGTAAACATAAGGGAATTACATGCACATAGTATTGACACTATTTTTTCTCCTAACACGGAAAAAGAATGGAACAGTCATCATTTTAAGATGATACAAATATAGCACAAAGGAATGGACTAAGTAATCTAGACAACTATCACTTTAAGATGTCACATCTTACATACTTTGGGGGCAGAAATGGGCTAGATAGTCTTTCCAAGGACTCTCATTTTGTATAATTATAGGCAAGAGAAGCACATAGTTGGGGACATTTGGATCATCTGGTTTATTTGCCATATGGAATAACTTTGAAATAATAAAAATTAGCATAAAATTATTATATTGATAAAATCTGAGTTGTTTAGATGCTAAAATTTAACTACATACTGAAGAATGTAGTTTTAGGATGCAGAATTATGCTGGTGTTAGAAATACAGTGTGACATCAGTAACAAGCATGTTGAGGCTACACATTTATTACTGATGTCACATTGTATTACATTTATTAAATTTTCCCCACCTTGTTTTGAAGAATACATTTTTCATGTTCATGCAGGAAATAAAGTAAATCAATCTTTTGTGCATCTAATTCTAGAAGCTTTCTCATTTTGTACAGACAGTACTCAGGCACTCTGGAATACCAATGGCACTTTAACCTAACTAATAAAAAAATCTAAATAATTTAGGTACTGTATATATTATTAGAAGTGAAATACCTTATGTAGCATTCCAAACTTAGAGATTAATAAAATAGACACTAATTCCTTTTATAGATCTCAAAGCAAGGAGTGTAAGGCCGCCTGTGACCATGCCAAGTATTGGAGGAGGCACATATGACCACAGCCCATAAATGTTCAGGTGTACAAGGGAGGGGTATGCCATTTAAATGCAAAGGTAAAAATCAGTCATTTAGGAGAAACAAAAAAGACAAAAAGAGGCTGGGATGGAAAAGAGAAGACATTCTAGGAACCTCTGTGTTCTCTAAGTGCTTTGAAGGCCTCTGGAGCTCCATCACTCAGAGCTCCAAGGGCCTGGTCACACTATTAACCACTCCTTCACCAAATGCTTTTAACTCTGTTAACTGGAACATTTCTCAATAACAAATTAAGTTTTTAAAAGTCAATGGAAAAGTGCTATTTGGTTGCTAGAATTATTGCTTATTGGTTAGGTACATTCTGGCAATGGGAAAGAAGCTTGCACTTTCAATAAGAGAAAATCTAGAATAAATAAAATAATTTCCATTTCCCACCTAAGAATATTAGTGGTCATCAAGGCTCAGTTTTCATTTCTGTAAAAATTCAATCATAAACATCAACAAACATCAGATTTTTTTGGAGTCCCTATGCTAGAGGTTTTCCAACTAGTACGTATGTGGAAAACTTGTTAAAAGTTCAGATTTCTGGGCCCTACTTCCATAAATTCAGACTTAGAAGTCCTGGTTAGGCCTTAAGAATTTGTTTTTTAAACAAATGCTCCAGGTGATTCTCATTCACATGATCTAGGGGTTATGCTTTGGGAAATACCACCCTAAAATAAATTCTCTCTTTCCATTTTCGTTTGTCACAGCAAATTGTGTTTAAGCAGGCTCGTTAGTGTTAGTTCTGAAAAGCAGGTGGACTACCACACAAGTGAGCTAGAGATAAACAGTCAAAGCATAGTGGGGAACCCTAGCCTTCAAACATGTGTCCAGGGAGAATCTCCCAATGGCAGCTGAATTCTCTACCCAGTAAGTTCTTCTACCCGCTCCACATCCCATGCCCTACCCAATCTGGACAGCCATCCCTTTAGAGTTAGCCTTGGTCCTAGAAAGCCCACCTCAATGTTTTCCAGGTTTTTACCTCTTTTGGTGATAGTATAGAAATGTAATCTTCATATATCATTCTAGCCTTTTCTTCGATTACTTTTTTGTTCTGCTCTTTCTTTAAGTCTTCACAGGCAAGCCAGAAAAGTAGATTCTCTTCGCTGTATTCTGTTCGGAGGAACTCTCTGAAAAGGTTTCTTCCTGCTGGGGCCTTCATCATCTTGTCAAAATTTTGGGACCAGGACAAGACTTCCTCCGCAGTGGGGTTTTGGCTGCAGAGACAGAATGGGACCATGATCAAAGGGAACTTTGGTGAATGCTAGACCAGATAAGGAGAGGGGTAGACAGACATTCTATATCAGGACCCGTGTGGTGGCTCATGTCTGTAATCCCAGCACTGTGGGAGGCCGAGGCGGGTGGATCCCAAGGTCAGGAGGTTGAGATCATCCTGGCCAATGTGGTGAGACCCCGTCTCTACTGAAAATACATAAATTAGCTGGGCATGGTGGCGCATGCCTGTACTCCCAGCTACTCGGGAGGCTGAGGCAGGAGAATCGCTTTAACCTGGGAGACAGAGGTTGCAGTGAGTCAAGATTGCACCACTGCATTCTAGCCTGGTGACAGAGGGAGACTCCCTCTCAAAAAAAAAGAAAAGAAAAAAAGATATTCTATCAATTTTCTGCCATCTAGTGGTCAGTATTTTGTCACTCAGTCCAGCCTGATCTGGCAAGATCTGCTAGGACTAGGTCAGTTATTTCTGGGTTTTGACAAAAATTCATGCAGGCATAAGAGGCGTGTAGGGAACCAAGCATTCAAATAGAAACAATATGCATGCAGTCGTCATACATTCCTAATGAAGCTGGGAAATATTCAACCTTTAACAATATGTTGCAAGTTGACAGTAACAGTCTGTAAGTGACTTAGGACAAACTGAATGTTTTTCTTTGCCTCTAATCAGGATTTCAGTTTTCCAGCCTTAAGATACAGGTTTTTTTTTTTTTTTTTTTCTCATCTTTGGTGGCCTTTTCATTTGTCACTTGGTTTAAAGTAACAATATGCTGTGTGTACTTGTCATATATTTTCCTAAACTTTAATAATTTTTCTGCTGGGCATAGTGGTTCATGCTTATAATCCCAATGCTTTGGAAGGCTGAGGTGGGAGGATCTCTTGAGGCCAGGAATTTGAAGCTAGCCTGGGAAATATAGCAAGACCCTGTCTCTGGAAAAAAGTTTAAAAATTAGTCGGGTGTGGTGGCATGTGCCTGTAGTCCCAGCTACTTGGGAGTTGAGGCAGGAGAATCACTTGAGCCAGGACCTTGAGGTTACAGTGAGCTATGATCATGCCACTGCACTCCTGGCTAGGCAACAAAGTGAGATCCTGTCTCTTAAAAAAAAAATTTTTTTTTAATGAAAAGTTATGTACAAATTGTTAGTCATGAATGGAGTTATCACAGTTGGAAGCAGAAGTCTTCTATAATGACATTGACATTGTGAATTTAAAACTATATACAGATATTTTAATGACTACATGACTGCAGAAACCTCCAATAATTAATCCACTTGCTGATACGTTAAAGAAGTAGACCAGAGAAGCTTGGAGAGTCTTATGGTTAAAATGATTCTGATCTTCCTTTCCTATTCAATGATCTATTTAATAATTTTCCAACCTAAAAGACATTTAGCCAAAGAAGTACAAGTATTTACACACACATATATATATATAAAATATATATATTTTACCTTTTTGACTAGGTATTTCAAATAGATTGTTACTATTGCATAATGTATGCACTTCCTCATTCAATTAATTTTTTTTTAAATTTTAAAAAGCTTAACAATTACCATGAAACATCATTATTAAAACCTTCTCATAAAAAGCTGAAAAAGAAAGCACTTATAATTATATGACTGGTCTATTTGTATTCTGATTTTAGTCCATAGGTACCTCTCATTTGGGAGGAAACACCTGGGAGAGTCCCCTCTGGTGGAAATGGAACCAGGAGTTGGCTGGGTGCCCTTCCTCACTGACTTGGACGTTCCATGTTTTAAATTTTCAGAAATGAGAGGTAATGAATTAGGGTAATTTTTTAATACAGGATATGATAATCTTTATTTTTTTTTAAAGAGAAAAGTAAATTTAGACCACGTTTTAGCCAATAACTTCACATTGCTTATAGAAAAATTGCTGAAAAGCAACTGCAATGACAAAATAAGATCTTCTAGATGGAATTTGCATTCACTTCCCAAAATCATTTTAAAGAGTACCATGAAGCAAGAGGTAATACTTAGGCATGCAGTAGATGTAAATGGTATATAAATATAAGAAACAATAGCTATGTGGTTCTCACACTCACCATTCTTCTAGGACTTGGATACTCTCCATTTTTGTAGTGTGTGTGGGTCTTCCCGCATTTTCCCCTCTTTCTTCATTCCTAACAGTGAGGCTGTAATGTAGCAGAACATTTAATTTTGTCAAGGAAAATTCATCAGTTGAAGAAAAGAATAAATGTTTCTGGAGAAACATTTCACAGGAGATCTTATATTCAACTATGAGAATATTTATAGTATAAAAAGAGCAATGCCATTTTAAAATGATGGGTAAGCCCCTGTCAACTAAAGGGAAGAGAATAATTTTTAAATATAATTATGAAGTAAATCAGACTCTCAAAAGTGTATATTGTTAAATATTCTGACTTCATCCTTACATAATCTGAATTATTTAGTATTTCTGAGATACATGATTAATGCTTTATTATTTGAAATAAATATAAATAATTACCTTACTCTTTAAACAAAAAGTCATTTTGATTTTTGGTTAATTGTATTCATAGTCTGTTTTCCATTATTTTCCCCCATTGAGAGCTAAGATAAAATGTGTCAGAATCTAATACAGATTTTGCTAAATTTACATCTTCCTTCCCTGCAGACCAAGTTATTGTTACCAATAATATCATTCCTTCAATTGCTAAAACCAAGCTGGATTTATACTTGGCTTTGTTTTTGCCCTTTCACCTTAGTAAATCAATCTCCGATATCTTGAAAGGGACAGACCAGTAACTGAGCGTTTGTAGCACGTGAGCATTGGGTGGGAGGGATCTGTGTCTATGCGGCATAGGTTTGGGAATTCTACAGCATCATAGAGGACAGAGGATAATGCTGAAGGTTTTATTAACTCAGAACAAGAATAATTATAAAAATTGTCCAATTCAGATAAACGGTGGCTGAGCAGTGCTTTACAGTGAAACACCCACAATTTTAGGCACAGACTAGACATAACAAGGAAGGTTATGGGAGATACTAACAAGCAGGGTAGGGAGGGTAACTCAGTGGGTTGAGAAAATTTGAGCTCCCGAATTAGCTAACTGATCTCTCTGTCGAGAAGCCAGAGAGCTTCACGAGCTTGGCAGAGAGCACAAGAAGTTCAGATAACATCTCTTATTTGTTCCTGCTTTCACTTATTTACTCAAAATAAGAGGCAATGGAAATGATTTTCTAATGCCATTATGTGACAGGCACCATACTTTTACCATTAAGATTATTATCCCCATTTTACAGATAAGCAAAGTGAGGTGCAGACCCATCTGAGAGGTTGGCCCAAAACTGAACACTACATAGGTGGTATAGTTGGAATTGGGAGCCTACTCTGCTCAACAGCCCTGTATTTCTGAGTGCCTACTATGAACCAGGGCTGCTGATAGGCACTGAGGTCACAGACCACTTATGTGAATGCAGAGAAAGGTCACTAAACATGGTTGGTGTGGAAAGAAAGTGTTCAGGGAGAGGTGCCCAACAAACAGTTGTTCTCAATCTGGAAAGTCTGATAAGAGAAACCAAGACAATCTCCCTAATTCATGTTTTCATTCTCAACTCCAAGCATGAGGATGGAGCAAAGGGAATAATTTCAGGAGGAGGAGCCTGGCAAGTGGGCCAATCAACAACAGAAAATGAGGCTAGATAGGAAAACTGACCTGAGAGAGCAGAGTCACTGGAAAAAAGAGAACCCAATAGGAATTGAAAAGGATTCTCTAGTCAGGAAAAGGACACTCCATAGAATACATAGGCTTTCATAGTGAAATATATTGAATTTGCCTCTACCCATTTCTAGGGACAGGGGCAGGTTTATGGGTGTAGAACCGTGGAGGGAAATGTAGTGTAGCCCAAAGGATTCTGGGGAACAGAAATTAGAGTGGATGGTTCTTCTGACCCCGCTGCTCATTGACTAGACCCTTGTGGGAGGCAGCAGTCCCTGGTTAGAGACAGCAAAGCCTTCAGTGTAGTGTACTTGTGGGGAAGAATTCAGAAAGAGCACATAATTTTTTAGGTATTTGTGTGTGAATGCTGTGAATGTGTCTGTGGCTTGTGATAGCCTAGGAAACCTCAGTCCTCCATGCCACTAGACAAATAGGTCAGATAAGTGTTTTAAAGGAGATTCACTAAGAAGTAAGAAACAGTTCTTCTCTAGAGTTCAATGTATTTCCAATAATGATGGGAAAAGTGGATGGTGGGGTACACTACCGACAACATTCTGTAAAACTTTCTGTACATATAAAATGTACAATTTTTAAGTAAATTCTATTCAACTCTTTTTAAAATAGGAACTTGCTACTCATTCTGCCAATATTCATTAAGCTTATATGTATGTGTGCAAACATATATTAAGGCACTATAGCACGACTAGCAAAAGAGCTCTCATTCCCTGCTTAAATAATAAACTCATTGAGTTTATTTTTATTACATTTCCACACAGTGTCCCACAGAAGGTAGTACATAAGATGTACATATACTTCATTTCATTAAACATCTTTGAGAAATTTGTTCTCTGTTGTGCCTTTGCTGTAGAGTGACAAATCTGGAGCCCACAGGCATGACTGACGAATTTCTGAACATGAATTCTGGCTCTTTTATCTGTTTCTGTGATATTTACAAACATCCCAAATGCTACCATATTAGAGCAATCATTATAAAATACTGGTTGAGTTTACATCTTTATTTTCTACAGATGGTAAAATATGAACACATATTGGGACTAAAACTACTTATAACAGACATTCAGTAAATGCTTAACTATTCAGTTTGTGCAACTCTTGATCTAATATGGACACAATCTTGCCCTGTAGAAAGAGAAATTGAACTTTGGCAACAGACAAGTTGTCCTTTTTATTAACTTCCCTTTATTACCGGTCGCAAAAAATGAATTTCAAGATTTCAGTTATCAGGAACTGCTAAAAATATCATTTTAAGTTAAAGAGAAATGGAGAAAATAGATAAGGGATTGATACTTAGCTGTTTGCCTGTCTTGATATTGATGAATGGCTGTCCTACTTGGTCCTGCTCCAAGTAGTACAGTTTTTTTTAAGGTAATAATTTACTGGAAATATTTGCTCTAGATCAGCTTACATATGATATATGTGTTTGAGGAAAGCCCTGAAAGGAAAATACCAGATCAACAGTTTTGAGGGGTCCCACAGAGATACCCTGTTTTTAAGCCCGTATCTCTCCAAGAATAGACTCTGACTTTTATGTATGCAACATTTAAAACGAACATTTCTACGTTTTAAGCAATAAAAGCCATAAAGAGAACTAAATGCATACACAATGTTCACTGTGGGAGTCTTGATCAAAGCTTAAATACTTTATGGAAGAAAAGTGCTGATATCCTAGGCTAAATATACTAAAATAAGCATTTAAAATCCCATTAGAGATTTTTCTAGAATAGTGACTTTGAAAAGTGAGGAAAAACACTTGGTACATTTCAGAAATTAAGAAAATGTGCCCCCTCGCTCTGTGGGTAGATTGTGTGTTTATAGGGGAGTGTGGATGTTGGGGTGAGAAAAAAACACTACTTGCTGCCAGTTACAGAGTTTACCTATTGATCTGTCACCATAGATACATGCAGGGTCTATTTTGGAAGAGAGTCTTCTGTTGTAAGGAAAACAATTGGTTCTTAAGAAAAACTGTTAAAATGGTTGCAAAGAAGATGAAAACTTATCAGTAACCATGGTAACTTTGGGATAGAGGCTAGTCACGAAACCACATATATTTACAGAAAAATTAAACTGAAGAATCAATAAGATGCCTCACTTTAATACAGTGTGACATCAAGGCTCCAAGAGAGAACTACTGTCACTGGTGAAAGCAGTCTATTCAGTATTGAAATATTCTCACATTGTGATATCAATCTTTTCTTTTCATTTAACAGCTTCTACCTCAAAGTTCCTGGTGCTAAAATGAAATCAACATCCCTCAGGCTCTGAAAATGAATTGGTAGATTATTCTTTAAATATTTCATTTTCAGCATTTTCAAGATATCACAGTAAATCCCACAGCTTTTTTTTCAGGAGTTAGCAATAATTTACCAATGTGTATGAAACATTGGTTCATGTAACGTTGCCTGGGTTGGACATACAACATGAATGAGACAAAGGCTCTGCTACTGAGGAGCTCAGACGGGTAAATAAACATCACATGGCATTGTGGTAAGAACTCAAATAGAGTTGTGCTTATGGGGTTTCTTAGACACCCTTGATGGTACCCGTGCTTTTGATTAAGAGAATTGGGAAAAGCTTCACAGAAGCATTTCAACCCATTGATTAAATTGGGTTGAAAATTTGCAGTTGTTTGCCAGATGGAGACCTGGACAAAGGGGATCGCAATCAGAGCGGGGATAAAATCGTGTAGGGACACAATATAAAAGTAGAACACAATGAACATATCAGGTGTTGCAGAACAGTACCAGGAGATTAAAATAGGCAGCAAAGTATGTGTTATCCAAGAAAACAATGAGGTGGACTCCAAATGTAGAGGCAGCAGGTCATGTTTGTTTTCTCAACCCACTATCCACACTCCCCTGTAAACAAACAGACAATCTACCCACATAACGAGGGGGTGGAACATTTGCCACCCCTTAATTTCTTTAAGGTTTGGAAAAATAAACCTTCTAGTACAAACCAGTGCATTGAGTCTGAATGCTTTCTCTAAGGCATCATCCCACAAACCATCCTTTAGGATGGTTTAAGCTTTCCATGCTTTGTTTTCACCATTCATAATGGGGATAATGGGAATGATCTACTTCACAAAGATGTAAAACAAAAAATAAAAAGCTGGTGACAAAAAGGCACATTATTACAAATGCCTAGTTGAATGGAAGGGCAAGTTGGTGGCATTTTAAAATGTAATTCTAAGTTTACCAAAGAGCTTTTTATTTCCACCTGAGTAAATAGAGACTTTCCCTTTGCCATTATTACAAAACACTTCCTCATACATTACCTTGTCACTTCCTCCTTACAACAGTCCTTGAAGGTAAGCAGGGGAGTTGTGATTAATCATTCTTGTTTGATTTATCAGGAAACAGTCATCGGGGCTGACTTACACAATACCCACAACTCGAATTGATCAGAACTAGGATTGGAATTCCCATCTTCTGACTTCCAGTCTCAGACTCATT